GATGTCCGTCTCCAACGACAAACATGTCTCGAGTAACTGCGCTCGCCAGATATACTCTGAAATAGGGATCACATGTGTTAGCTGAACGGCTACGCTTGACCCTCTGCCACCATCATGTACCTGTCAACGGGCTTGTTGAAGGCGTCCTCTAGTGTCAAGGCTTCCACGCCAGGGAGCGCCGCTAGTTCTTGGGCGGCCTTGCCGAGTGGGTCTCTGGTGATGGCTGCGACTTGGTGGCCAGCCTGGGACAGCGCCTGCACAAGCGCTACGCCGGTGTTTCCAGTGGCAGCAGTAACAGCGATCCGCATAATTCGTGGTTGTTGAATGTTTATGCCAGAGAGCTGAGTCGAGCTTTTTATGCGGTGTACGGGCAATGGGGAAGTAGCGGCGACAGGTCGTTGTCGCCGCGACTTGAGAGCCGATGAAAGGGATGCGCCAAAATTCTGGGTATGGACCGAGCATTAGAATTCTAAGTATGTCCGACGGAATCAGCAGAGCACTGTGTTACGGTCGCCTCCTCGGGTTTTTTTATTGGCCTGAGCGCACCGTCTGTAAACAAGCAGGCCATGAAGGCAAATGGTAGCACAACGGAGACGAACAAGCAGGTCACCGTGCCGACGACAGCGATGGCCGCGAAGAAGAGGATCATGCAGCCGAATGTGGCCGCGATGGCCACTGGCCACGACGCGATGCCGATTGTTTGCTTGAATCGCTCGGCGAAATCTTGGATCAAACCGATGACGACCAAAATCGGATTATGGCGACGAATCCGAAAACGACAAAGGTCGCGATGATCTGGCGTGTATGTGGGCGTGAGAAACGGCAAACAAAAAGTTGCACATTTGTTGGTACCAAAAAAATCGCTTCTATGGGATCCTATGGCGCAAACGGTGGTCGTACCTGTAGGGCATCGTGGCGAAATGCTGGAATATTTAAGTCGTGCTTTTTGTTCTTTGTGTGTCAAACACCCACCATGGAACAGAGAGGTGAAAGTGCGCCAAGCGAGTGGCCTACGCCATGGGCATCGACGAAGCCGGTCGTGGACCCACCATGGGCCCCATGATCTATGCCTGCGCGTACTGCCCGGTCGACAAACAGGAGGCCTACCGCAAGCGCGGGTATCGGGACTCCAAGGATGTCAAGCCCGCCGAACGTGATCGACTCTTTGCGGCGCTGCTCGAAGATCCCGATGTCGGATTCCGGTCGGGCATCGCAAGCGCCGAAGAGATCTCCAACGCCAACTACAGCCACACCGAGAACCGCAACCTCAACGAGGTGTCCTACGATCCCGCCACGGGTCTCAATCGGGACGTCCTGGCCACCGGCATCAATCTCGCTGAGCTCTACGTCGACGCGTTGGGCAACTGTGCGACCCTCCAGCGCCTCTTTCCCAGCATCTGCACCATCGTCTTGGAGAGCAAGGCCGACGTCAACTACCCGATCGTGAGCGTGGCCAGCATCGTGACCAAGACGCTGCGCGATGGCATCACCGAGAATCTGCCGTTCAAGGAGTGCGACATTACCATCGATCGCAACTACGGCAACGGATACCCGTCCACACCGGCCGTAAAAGACTGGTTGCGCAATCAGGATCTGTTCGGATTGCCATCGGCGGTGCAATTCAACTGGGGCCAGTCAAGAAGGCGCTCGCGGATCCCAAGAACGGCGTGAAGCGAGTGACATGGGAGCACACCACTGGCACGCCAGAACACAAGAACAAGATGCAGACCAGGACGAAATCCATATCTGAGACACCCATGGTCACTCACTGATCATGTACACCCAAAGATTCTAGAATCACTTTCTCCTCTTTTTTGGCGATGGCGGTAGCATGGCGCCCACGGTCGGATCAACAAACGCCACCAAGGCGGCAATGTTGCAGAGCAGCTTGCGTGCCGCCCATCGTGTTAATTGGCGCTTGGGTACGTACTGCATCATGCGTCGTTGCGGTGCCAGCCACGATTGCGCCACTGCCACCAGTGACAGAAAGATCTGGGCGAGCTCGGCCATTGCCAGATTGGCAAGCCACTTGGGCGAATTGTGTGTGTATGGGAACCAGAATCTGAATGATCATACAGTTTGCAGGGCCGTCTTGTTGCACTGCTTGAGTTCAACACAGCACTCCTTCCAGAACCATTTGCAAAGCTCTATCATCTGGACATAGGCCTCAACAGCATCCTAGTCCATTGGCAACATGGCCATGCCCACAAGCCACGTCACATCACACAGCTCCTGTGCCCAACCAGCGCATTGTCACATCACATTCAATCGCACAGCCTCATCCTGCGTGATGTTCAGATTCCAGCTGCGATCCTCGAGTGTCTCAATATCCAAGCAATACTGTTGGGCCACACTATCACCAAGGCGCCAGCGCACCTTGTTCACGTGCAGGATCATGCACTGGAGTCACATGTGGATCTTGTCCATGATGGCATCGCACCCACCATCCACCAATGCGTTGTAGTACCCACCCATCCACATTTTCAGTTCCTCTTCTTCCTGGGCCTCATATGCCACATGTTCATTGCCCATGCACAGCAGTTCAGCCTGTTTGAGCTCAAACGCCAGCATGTTCCAAGCATCAGCGTCATTGGATCTGATGGCACAACCCCAATCAGTGCACTCGGCGTAGGCCTCTTGCAGATCATTGCCCAATGGCGCATACGAAACCAGATCGCTGGATTCACGGAGCGCCAGCAGCGCATCGCATGCTTCCATTTGGTACCAACTGCTGTGCAAAACAAGGATCTGTGAATTGCACAATCCACCAGTGAACTTCACCTAATTCTGGCACCAGCGCAAACTTGATGGTGGCCATAAAAGTTGACACTGGTGGTGCTGAGTCCGTCCTTAGTGGGGGGTCCCACTAGGGTCTGTTGTCCATGGTGCCATTTCCAATGGGGTGGTTGGTGCTGTGCCAGGCCACAAGGCTCCAGTGGACAGTATGTGTGGTGTGTTGGTACAGTGGCCCAAGGTGAGGGGTAGGGAGGCTACACCCACAATGTGTGGGGCCTCACCACTAATGCCACAGGGAGGTTCACCCATCCATGGCTCCAGAGTGTCATTCAAGCCCTCATCAATTAATACCCTGAACAAACACTCATCAATAGCAGTGATGCTGGAGCCAGTATCAATGAGCACCAGCCCATGCAGCCCAGAGATTGCAGCAGGGACAGTGATAGGCTTGCCTGCTTGGGTGTGGGGCCACTGATCCACAACTGTATAGATTACAGCCTTGCCAGGGCATGGGGCCTCCTGAGGGGGCAATGATGCTGATTTGGCATACAAGGGTGTAGGAGGGGGAACATTGGTGCATGCACTACCAAGGCTCCCTGCCCATTCTTTAATGGCCTTAACTGGTTGGGCATTACCAGTTAGGCCTGCAGATTTCCTGTGGGATCAGTGGGACTGACTGTGGCACTGTTACCCAGTGTTGCACTCCCCACACAGGTGGGGCAGTTGCAATGGAGGCCTCACTGGTTGCACTGCCAACATAGGGGACCTCAAGGATCACCCTCACCTTTACCTGTGTCCTTGCCCAAGGATCCTGTTGCCCACTGAAACAGTCCTTCAGTGCCTGTAGTTCCAGGACAGCACCCACACTAGATGTGGTTACCCATGGTGGCATCCTTCTCTAGCCACTCCACCACACCACCAAGTGACTGGTTCAGGGTACATTGATTCAGTTCCTCTGCCACCCACAGTGATGTCCACCCCTCCATAGGTTTGCTGTATACAAAAGCAGTATTCAGGGTGTCCCACTCATCAACCAACTCATTCTCACTGTACATGAAGTTGTCCATTTTTTCACACACAGTTGTTGTCCACCGAAATCTTCAGTGGGTTCAATCCCTAGATTGATGTGTTGTTGGCTAGCACAACCGTCCACCAGCTCCCAATGGCGCCCCCAGCCGTTCCCTGTTCCCATTTGCCTTCTTCAGCGTGGTTCACATTTTTTTGAGTACTTGGAAGGCCGAAGTTTCACCACTTTGCTGGGCGGGAACGGGAGACAGTGGATTTGCAAACTTCCTCAGTCGCCTTCATACGTGCCTGAGTCCATCACGCACCAGCCCTGCGCGGGAGTGGGCGATGCTGAGGAGAAGACAGACGCCCAATGATTTTTTACCGTTTTCAGCACACAAGGCCCTTAAAAGGCAAGTGGGGAAAAAAAACAAAACAAAAAGGTCGTGCAAGAAGAGAGAGCACACCAGTCAGCTAATGTCCACCGCGAAGTCAGCACCCACAGTGCCGCCGCTGGTCGAGGGTATGCCCAGCAAGCCAGCTGCTCAGGAGACCAGCGCTGGTCCATTTGACTGGCGCGCCAGCCTCAAAAAGACACCAAGGTACCTTGCATCTTGTGAGCCCTGAAGATGGCAGTTGCACACCCGTCGAGGTCCGCTCACCTCTTCTGCGTGCAGAGACGAACGGCCCAAGAGCCCTAACTTGCCCCAAGAGGGGATGCCCCTCGTCAGCCCGCGAGCTCTCTTGTCGCCCCGCGCGGACCTGGTCTTCGTCTCCACCAAGCCCAACGCTTCCTAGCCGCCGCCTTCCTCCTTGTGCGCGAGGGAGTAAACACAAGCACGACTGGAACACGTGTTAACATGAATGTTTGTGTGAAGGTGTGAGCTCTATTTACAAGCAATGACGTTTTAGGCGCTCACAGGGTCGACCAAGTCCTTCTCCTTTCCCTTGGGCGTCTCTTCGGCGGCCACCTGCATGGCGTCGCCCTCTGCGACTTGAGCTTCGGCCTCGGCAGTGGCGGCACTTCCGACGTCGTTCTTGGCGGTCGTCTTGTTGAAGGGCCGGCGGGGCTTCTTGTAGCCGAGGCGCTTGGCCTGGCCGATGCTCTCGACATATTCGAGCTGCTTGTTGGTCGCGCCGCGCTGGGCGATGAACTTGAGGATGCCGTCGGAGAAGCCGCTGATGAGCATGTCGTTGGGGTGCTTGCCCTCGCTCACCTCGACCAGCGCCGACCCGCTGCCGCACAGGTCGACCGAGACGAAGAGGAGGTCGGGGTTGACCTCGCGCCGGTACTTGTCCAGCACGGCGCTCACCGTCGTCTTGCCCTGGGCCATCTCGCCGCGGCCGGGTGCGATCATCATGTCAGAGAGGATGATGAAGTTGTCGATCTTCTCCTTGCGCGCGATGAGGTCCTCCAGGTAGTCGAACGGGAAGTCGGTGCCGCCGCCCAGCTCCTCCGACTGCTTGGTGACGCGCTTGACGTTTTTCAGGATCGTGTTCTCGACGAGCGGCACGGACAGGTGGCACTTGCTGCCGTTGCGCGGCGGCGACGAGAAGATGCGGAAGTCGACCTCGTCGCAGCAAGACTGGAGCATGAGCCCGAGCAGGATGGCGATCTCAAAGGCCTGCTGGATGCCGGTGCCGAGGCCGCCCTTGCACGAGCGGCACGGCTGGCGCATCGAGCCCGACACGTCGCAGAAGATGACCGTGCGGCCCTCGACCGGCGGCAGGTTGTGGAGCGTGGCCAGGCGGATGGCGGTGTCGATGGCCTCCTGGTAGCGACGGATGAGCGGCAGGTCGGGCATGTGCACGGGGATGATCACGCGCTTGCGGATGGTGCGGTTGGCCGCCATCTGGCGGCCCTTCTTGCCCTTGACCGGCACCTGCACCACCTTGTACTTGGACCCGTCGTGGTCGAGCATGTCGTTCATGAGCTTCTCGAGGTCGATGTCGATCGCCTGGTGGGCCGACAGGAAGCGCCACGGCAGCTGGCGCGAGCCCGTGACCGACCGCTCGTCGGTGAGGCGCGCCAGGATCTGCTCGTGGTGCTCCGGCGAGATGCCGGTGACGATCAGGTTGCGCAGGTTGCGCAGCATGGCCATGAAGGGCAGCTTCTTCTCGTCGATCAGCATCTGCCACGTGCTGTGCTGGTTGCCCAGCGCCGACAGCTGCGTCTCCCACGTCACGGGCACCGGCAGCTTCATCCGCTTGCCCGCCAGCGTCGTGTCGAACTCGCCCGCCAGGCCCATCTTGGCGAACGCCTCCGGCGACTCCGGGTACTTCTTGCCCAGCAGCGCGCACACCGCATTCGCCGGCTCCGCGACGTGCACCTTCCTGATCAGCTGCTTCAGCGTTAGCTTCTGCGGCTTGGCCGATGGTGACTCCTGCGGTGGCCGACCACCCTTCTTCGGCGTCGCCGAGGTGGCGGTCGAGACCGCGTCGGGAGTCCTGGCTGCTGCTGTGGCGTCAGCCTTAGCCTTGGCCTTGGCCAGCTTGGCCTTCTTCTTGTGGGCGTTCTCTTTGTTGTACTTGGCGAGCTGGTAGTCGTCGAACTCGAGGAACTTGTGCTGGACGGCGGTACGGAGGGCGGCGGGGAGGGACCGGGAGTCGGGCAGGTAGCGGTTGGGGAGGTCGAGGTAGAGATTGACGACGTCGAGCAGGTCGCTGGGCAGGCGCACGCAGCTGGAGAAGTAGCGCTCGAAGAAGGCGTGGCAGGGCTTGAGATTGGCAGCGACGGCCATCATCCAGTTGGCGGTCGAGCGGATGTTGAGCTCATCGCGCACGTAGAGGATGACCTTCCACACGAACTCGGGATCGCGGGCGGCGATCTCGGTCAGCAGCTGGCTCAGGTCGGCCTGCGTCTTCGACGGCTCGGGCGCGTAGTACCGCGGCTCGTGGATCATCAGCGCGCAGACCTTGTTGAGGAGCCTGAGCTTGAGGTCCTTGATCTCGACCAGGTGGGAGAAGCCCGTCTTGTCCATGCTTGCAAGCAACACGTGCAGAGTAGTACTAGTGATTTGATTAAATCGAGGCAGACGAAATCGCGACGGATTGAGCAGACTGCTGGTGTGGGCGATGAGCGAAAAAGCGATCTTCTGATCCTCTCCGGCTGCTGGTCCGTGCACCTGGTGGCTGTCAATCGAAACGGTAGGGCTCTCACGAAGTGTTCGGCCCTCATTTTGATCTGTTGATCATTCTATCCTTTTTCACTTCCGTGAAAAGACAGTTTCCCAGTTATTTCCGAGAACTAAAAATTGCACCAAAAAGATTATTCTGCATTTCTTGCATTCTAGAAAATATATTGGCAGAGAGTTGCCTGGCAAAAAGCAAGGTCACAAATTGATTTTAGTGCATTTTCGATCAATTCAATTGGATTGAAAGAAGAGATGGCGTCCTCTCTTGGGCAGCAGCGAGCATCGAATGATCCCCCATTCTACACAGCTGATGTGCGCGACATTTTGCGAAGCATCGAGACCACCAAGCACCAGAAGACGCAAATCGAGCAGAAATTGGCTGCCCATGTGGCCAAAACGATCGAGGCCAAGCTCGAGCCTGCTCTGCTCGAGGAGATGAAAAAGCTAGAGGACGAGGAGCTCGAACTGGTGCGCATCGACGTCAGTCTGCGTGAAAAGCTGGTCGAGACACTGCAACAGGCGCGAAGGCATCCCCCCCCCAAATCTTCACCTCCATCAACCCGCCTGCATTTACTACCGATTAATGTCAATCACGCTTATATAGACAAGAGTTGCGTAAGGCTGGCGGCATGGACGTGAGTGACGACAGCATGCTCTGCCGCTCGGGCTCCGGTGGCTCCGTGGGCGTTCGGTACCGTTCTCGCACTCAAGCTCGTGTGTTGTGGCGCACGTGTATCTGAAACACGCTTTCCTCCCTCCCTCTTCATCTATGTATCTGTTGTGTGCTGGTCGCACCCTCATAAGCAACAGTTCGGTCGAGGCGCGCATCGGACGTACAGCGACCGCCGAGCTGCGCTCGCGTCAGATGGCCAACCCGTTCCTCGAGGGCAGGTGCGCTCTCCTCTCCGCAATGGTCATGAATGAATGACTGGCCTGTGTTGACTTCTCCACTTTTTTTTCCCTCCTGTGCTCACTTCACCATCACTTTCACCATTCTCCCTTCAAACGTGGCCACGCGTAGCATGTCGCAACAACAACAGAACTCGTCGTCCCAGGGCGCCGCGTCGGACTCGGCGTTCTCGCAGGAGTTCTTCTCGCTCAACCTCAAGCGGGACGAGATCGACATCAAGCAGGAGGTGGAGCTGGGCAAGGGCGCCTACGGCTCCGTCTACGAGGGCAGGTGAGGCCCATTTTCCCCTTCTATTTATTTATTTATTTATTTACTTATTATCTTCATAATTCTTCTTTTTAAATTATTATTATCTTATCTATTATTTATTTAGTACTGATACACATTTCGCTTGGAATTGAACCGAAAAGGCTGCGAGGTCACAAGGTCGCGGTGAAGGTCATCACGCCCAAGTGGGCGTCGCAGGAAGAGATCGACGCCATCCTCAACGACTTCAAGAACGAGTGCGCCCTCATGCGGAAAGTGGCGCACCCCAACGTGGTGCTTCTGATGGGCGTGTGCGTCGATGACTCCAAGAAGGAGCGCGAGCTCGTCATGGTCACACAGCTGATGGAGGTACCCGACCCCGACTTCACCATTCATCGAACATTTGCTAAACATTCTTCGCCTTCGTCTTCGTTTTCCGTCTTTCGTCTTCGCTCTTTTCTTTTCTTTCTTTCTTCTTTCTTTTACAGAGGGGCAGCGTGTCCAGCCTGCTGCACGACCCCAAGAACCGCGTGCCCTTCAAGCGGAGGATGCGCTTCGCGCGCGATACCGCGCTCGCCATGAACGCCATGCACCTCTCCAACCCCGCCATCCTGTACGCTCTCCTCAATCCCCGTCTCCACCTTGGTTTCTCGGTGGTACCTCGCATGCGACTGTCGCTCACCGTTGGTCCCTTTCTTGTTGCGTGATCTCCCCAGCCACCTCGACCTCAAGACACACAACATACTGGTTGACAAGAACTGGACCGCGAAGGTGGGCGGTACGGACCTCCGTCGCACCGCACCGCACCGCGCCACGGCAACCGCTGCTGCTCGACACAAACGTTGCACACACTTACCTCGGCCGGTTTTCTGCAGATTTTGGTCTGTCGCGGGTGTTGCAGGCCGACAAGAACAGGGGACAGGCCGGCTCTCCCGGTACTGTCACGCCTTCGCCTCCCTTCACCTCTGCCGCGTGCTGTGTTTGCTGACGACACCTCTTTTTCTCTTTTCTCTTTCTTTGCCTGGCAGTGTATATGGCGCCGGAGGTGCTCTCGCAAAAGCCCTACGGACCCAAGGCCGACGTCTACAGGTACTCGCCCTCGCTCGGTCGTGGCCGGGTCTCTCCCCCCTCCCCAAGGCCGCGCTGCTCACATACGCGCCTCTGTTGCGCCGCGCACACTGTGCACAGCTTTGGCATCGTGCTCTGGGAGTTGATCACCAGCCAGGTGCCCTACCAAGCCGAGGGCTTCGCCACCCTCGAAGGTCCGCCGCGCAACCCCTCCCAATACACCTATCGTGTGAAATCTTCTTCTTTTATTGGTATGTAGATATTAATAATGACGTGTAATTTCTTTGTGTGTCGTGTGTGTGTGCTCGTGTGTGTGTGTGTGTGTGTGTGTGTGTGAATGGCCGCACCTCTGCAGAGGTGTACCAGCACGTGGTGATTGACGGCAAGCGGCCGGCCATTCCGCCCAGGTGCCCTCCGCAGCTGGCGAAGCTGATCAAGCAGTGCCTCGAGTACGATCCCGAGAAGCGTCCCACGTTCCAGCAGATCTTGGACTCGCACGCCCTCGACGACGATGGTATCCCTTCCATCCATTGCACCGGTGCCACGCGCCGCATGCTGAGCAAAGCACACACACACACACCGCACACACACACGGGCAGTGATCGTTGACGTGAGCATTAGCGAGACCAACGCGCATGGACGCGCCTTCTGGAAGAAGTCCTTCAAGAAGGATGACGAGATCCTTGAGGTGCGCAGCAGCAAGCACCACCACTCGCATTGCCTGTCTCTCGCTGACACGACACGACACGACACGACCAACGACGCGACGCGACACGACACGCAGGTGGTCCCGTGGAAGCTGTTCGCGAGGGAGCTCTTCCAGTTCTGTAATTACGCGTTCGAAGACTCGCTGCCCTTCGACGAGCAACTGCCCGTCAAGGCCCTCAAACTGGCCCTCGGTACCCTCAAGCCACACCCACCCACCTGCGCTGCGTTGCTTTTAGCGTGGCTGACCCAACCCATCTGCGATCGCAGCGCGGGACGATGCGGTGACGATCGAGTGGTTCAGCAAGGTGCTCGAGTGGTTCGGTCCCTTCACGCTGGACTCGAGCTTCATCGACAACACCACCAAGACCATCTCCATCAAGTACCGCCCTCCCTCCATCACGCGCCCACGAGCTTCGTTCTTTATTGCGCCGCGCTGTGCTGACATCTATACCTGTGTTGCGTGCGTGCGTGCGTGCGTCAGGGGTTTCTGGGGCGATATCACCAAGGACCAGGCCACCCAATTCCTCGTGGGCAAGAAAGAGGTGCGCCGCGCCGCCTTCCCCCCCCCCTCCCTTCTCTATTTTCCTCGAGTGCACGGCCGTGACGAACACCTTTAATTGCTACTTGTCCGATTTCTCGTGACGATTCTTTCTACCACCAAGATCTGAGCTGCTCGGCCTTTTAGACGCCCTCATCATATGATTCCTATATGACACGCCCGTGTGCGGGCGTAACTCACCACTCTCCCCGCGCGTGTGATGTACAGGGCACCTACTTGATCCGTTACAGCGCAGAAGCGCCCGGATTCATGGCCCTCACCGTCCTTCAGGACGGCGAGCCCGCCATCAAACACTACCGCATCCAGCACAAGTACGTACCACCCCTGCGTACAGCGCCTGCCTTATTCCCCCTCAAGACCTACTCACTCTCTTCGTGCGCTGTTGCGCGGCTGCCACCAGGGCTGGGCTGGGCTTTGTGCTGGGTAAGACCGAGTACAAGTCGCTGACCTCCCTCATCAAGTCCAACAAGGACGAGCTCGGTCTCGAGGTAGGCGCACCTACCCCTCCCCCCCACAAAGAGACGAGAGCGAACCTGTGTGTAATCGAATCGTGCGCGCGTGTGCAGCACCCACTCTCCGGGTCCCCCTTCTCGACCATGCTCAAGGCCCACGCCGCACCCGTTCAGTCCGTCTACCACCAGGTCATCCTCACGTACGCGCCCACAAGCCCCCCCCCAACCTTATTTCTTGCACTCAGCGCTCGGTACTCATCTCTGAATAGGGAGGACGATTTGGACGACGGATCGGACGCAAGGAGGAAGGACAAGAAGAAGAGCAAGAAGGACAAGAAGGGAAGGAAGTAAGGCACCCACTTTGTGGCCAGAAAAGAGGCCTTGTTTCCTGTAATACTGCTAGCATGTGTGTGCTTTATTTTCTTTCACCTGTTACAAGCCAAAGAAGCAAACATTGTTGTTGTTGTACTACACCCCACGAAAATGACCAAAAACGAGTCCAAAAAAGATGTGGTAAAACTAAGCAACTTACTTCTGGCGGGGGTTCCGCATGAAGATGGCGGCCGCGACGGCGGCGGCAGCCACCACGCCAACGGCGGCCGCCACGCCCACCCACGTGTTCCACGCGCCACCGGCCTCCTCCTAGTGGGATTGGGTGATGTGAGATTAATGAGACACCTCGCCTGTAACCGAGATTGCCACTACACACAACACGCACGACAGAAAAACTGAGGCATCGCATACCACGGTGCTGGAGGGGACGCTGCGCGGCGTGCTGGTAGCGGTCGTGGCGATCGTGGTCGCAGTGGTGACCTGCACCTGCACGACCTCAGCCTCGATCTCGATCTGGCGCGCACGCTCGACGGCGCGGGCGGCCTCGGCCTCGATCTCGGCCTGCTTCTGTGCCTCGAGCTCGGCCTGCTCCTCGGCGCGCCTCTGCTTCTCCTCGGCCTCCTCGCGCTTGAGCTCGGCCTCGCGCCGCTCGCGCTCCTCCTGCTCCTGCTTCACCCGCGCCTCCTCCTCCTGCCGCTCCTTCTCCTCCTCCTCGCGCTTGCGCCTTTCCTCGGCCTCGCGCACCAGCTGCTCCTCCTTCTCGCGCCTCTCGCGCTCCTCCGCGGCCTGGCGCGCTAGCTGCTCCTCCTCGAGCCGCTGCCTCTCCGCTTCGTCGCGCTTGCGCTCCTCCTCGGCCTCGCGCGCCAGCAGCTCCTCCTTTGCGCGCCTCTCGCGCTCCTCGGCCTCGGCCTTCACCCGCTGCTCCTCCTCGGCCCGCGCGCGCTCCGCCTCGTCGCGCTTCCGCCGCTCCTCCTCCTCGTGCGCGAGCCGCTCCTCGAGCTCCTTGCGCGCCCGCTCCTCGGCCTCAGCCTTGACGCGCTGCTCTTCTTCGGCCCGCGCGCGCTCCTCCTCCTCGCGCCTCCTCTCCTCCTCGGCCTCGCGCGCCAGGCGCTCCTCCTCCTCCCTCCGCGCGCGCTCCTCGGCCTCGGCCTTGGCGCGCTGCTCCTCCTCGATCCTCTTCTGCTGCTCCTCCTCGTGCCTCTTCGCCTCCTCCTCGGCCCGCACGCGCTCCTCCTCCACCCGCTTGCGCTCGGTCTCCTCCTCCTCGCGCCGCTTCTTCTCGGCCTCCTCGGCCCGCGCGCGCTCCTCCTCCTCGCGCCTCTTCCGCTCCTCCTCTTCGCGCTTGAGCCGCTCCTCCTCCTCGCGCCTCGCCTGCTCCTCCGCCTCCTGGCGCACTCGCTCGGCCTCCTCGCGGGCCTTGCGGGCCTCCTCCTCCTGGCGCAGCTTCTCCTCGGCCTCGCGCTGCTGGCGCTCGAGCTCGGCCTGGCGCTGGCGCTCCTCCTCCTCGAGCCGCAGCCGCTCCTCCTCCTCCCGCTTGGCCCGCTCCTCGGCCTCCTGGCGCTCCTTCTCGAGCCGCTCGGCCTCCAGCCTCTGCCGCTCGGCCTCGGCCGCCTCCTCCTCGCGCCTCTTCCTCTCCGCCTCTTCGGCCTCCCTCCGCTCCTTCTCCACCCGCTCGGCCTCGGCCGCCTCCGCCTCGGCCTGCTTACGCTTCCTCTCGGCCTCCTCCTCCTCCTGCCTCTTCCTCTCGGCCTCGGCCTCCTCCTCGGCCTTCTTCTGCGCGGCGGCAGCGGCCTCCTCCTCTTCCTGCTGCTGCTGCCTCCTCCTCTCGGCTTCGGCCTCCTCTTCGGCCTTCTTCTGCGCGGCGGCGGCCTCCTCCTCTTCCTTCCGCTTCTTCTCGGCCTCCTCCTCTTCCTGCTGCTGCCTCTTCCTCTCGGCTTCGGCCTCCTCTTCGGCCTTCTTCTGCGCGGCGGCCTCTTCGTCCTCCTTTTTCTTCTTCTCGGCCTCCTCCTCCTCCTGCTTCTTCTTCAGGGCGGCCTCCTCTTCGGCCTTCTTATGAGCGGCGGCGGCCTCGTGGTCGTCGTGGTGCTCGTCGCCGTGCGGTCCCTTCTTGCCGCGGTTCTTTCGTCGCCTGCGGGAGCGGCGGCTGCCCTTCTTCTCGCCGTCGTGCTCGTCGTGGTGCTCGTCGTGGTCGTCGTGGTGGTCTTCACCCTCGGCTTCGCCGGAGGCCTGGTTGACGGTCTCGGCCTCGCCGGCCGGCGCCGCGGCGTTGGCGTCATTGGCATCGGCACTGGCATCGGCCTCCTCGGAGGCGCCACCGTTCTCGGTCTCCTCCTGGTCGTGAGGCTGCTCCCACTGCTCCTTGATGCACTCGAAGGCCTCCTCGAGGCGCGCTCCAAACTTGGGGAACGCCAGCTGTGCAGCAGAACCGACGCGCACGCGCAGCCATGGTGAGTTGGGTCCTGCGTGCGGCACGCGGCACCGCGCCGCACACACACACACAGGGGGGTCGCACCTGCTCATCGCCGACGGTGACGAGGAGCTGCTCGTCGTTGGTGGTGTTGAGGGCCTTGATGTCGGTCCACGGGAGGATTTTCTGCACACACACAGAGAGAGGCGATAGAGTGAGCACAAGCGCGGGCGCCCACAGCTGCAGCTGCGCAGGTGCCAAGCGAACCTGAATCTTCTTGCCCATGGAGTTGGCATCGAAACAAAGGTGGCCCGAGGTCACAAACATGCGTCCATTCACGTCGCCTAGGCCCTCTTCAGTCTCCGTAAACGCGCACGGGAAATCTGCACCGGCACATTCGCCAATCAAATTTTAAGAAAATTGAGAAATCGAAGATTATTGGCAATCTAATCTCGGGGCCGTACCGCGAATGAAGTTATCGCCATCGGGCAGCTTGAAGGTGGCGTGCAACTTCTTGTTCTTGAAGTTGTCCTGGAAGGCGCTGATCTTGGGGCTCCCCTTTCTCGTGCTCATTGTCTCTAAATTTATAAAGGAATGAAAGTAAATGGATTGAATGAATGGTCCAGGGATCTCACTCTTGCGCGCCCGCACTCGTACCTCGATTTGCAGTGGCCTGTAGAGAGATGTGTGTTGTGGTTGCTTGGAGGTCGTACTCACCTTGCAGGTTGAGCTGAACAGGAAATAGATCGAAAAAGACGACGGGAGCCTGACCTCTTCATGTCGAGCTCCTCCGAATTTCGAGGAACCCACCCAATCCGCCACTTCCGCTCAAGTGCCATTGACTTTGGCACCAAAGCAGACACGATGCTTCGAGAAGACGAAGGTCATGACAACATCAAAAGTGATGCCAGCTCTCTTGGCCTGATACGCAGGATGAACGACGTGTGGTAAAGGAGTGTTCTTGGCAGAGGGTGCATGTACAAGAGTTGTGCAGGCCAGGAGAAGGAGGGCATGATGCTCGAGCGCTGATGGCGGTGAAAGGAGATGAAGGTCTCGTGCTAATAAGATAAGTGATGAAGCTCTCTCCACCAGATTATCGCCTCTCCTTCTACGCCTCTAGTAGCCACCCATGGGCGGCGGGCCAGAGTTCATGTACATGTCCGGAGGGTAGCCCGACGCTGTACGAGAAGACGTACATCAAGTCAGTACGCTGAAGCCTTCGTAGCGTCCCATAAAGAAGCTGAAGAAGAAGAAGAAGAGCAAGATGGAGACATACGAGGCATCGAGTGGGTGGGAAGCGGACCCTGGTGGCCATAGTGCTGGTGTCCGTGGCCGTGGGGCGGCATACCGGGCGCTCCGTACATGTTGTTGAGCATCTCCGAGTGAGCGTGCGGATGCGCGTGGGGGTGCCCGTGCGGTGGCCCCTGCATCTGTTGCGGAGAGCCTGTAGAAGAAGACGACGACGTGAAGGTAAGCGACTGGTGTACGACTTGAGCTGAGCAGCTTCTACGTACCATGAGGCTCGTGCTTGGGTCCTCCGGCGCCGACGTTCTGACCGTGACTATTGGAGCTGTTGGCGATGAACTCGGATGTAGGGTAGTTGTTCTCAGGAGCGTTGAGACACGACTGGATGATCTCCTTGCCCTCTCTGAGCGTAACCACGGGCTGCAGCTTGGGCGTGGCGAAGGTGTACACGTGGCCGGTCTCGCTCGCGATGAGCACCAACGCTTGCGTACCCGTCAAGGTGGTCAGCTCGTACGCCTGATGAGTGCAGGGCAACAGACGATAAGGCCTTGAGCTGATTGTGCGCCAGAACTGGTAGGAGCTGGTGGACAGAGGCGAGATACCTTCTTCATGAGGCCACGCTTGCGTCTGGAGAAGGTCACTTGCCTCCTGCTCTTGTTCTCGATGAACTTGATGTCGATCCTCCGACGTCCCGTTCCTCCAGTCTTCTTCTTGCCGATCTTGGAGACTGGCTTAGATCCGGCCACTCCCTTGCCGGACTTGGCGGGCGCCTCGCCGGACTCGCCGTCTTCATCTTCATCGTCCTCGCTGGATCCGCCCTCGACGGTCTCCATGCTCGTCACGGTCATCCGAGAGGTGAGCGGCATCTGGTGGTGGATGACGGCGGCGGTCGGTTGATGCGGCATGATGCGGATGTTGGAGAGCACGTTGCCGTCAGAGGCCATCTCGTGGTGATGGTGCATGATGTGGGGCGGCATCGAGTGTGGGTGCTGGAGCTGGTAGCCGTGATGCGGACCCATGCCATGGTGCAGAGCGTGATGGAGTGGTAGTGGGGGCTGCAGCTGTCCCTGGCCCTGCTGCGGCTGTCCCTGCTGGTGTCCGACGTGTCCTCCGTGTTGCTGATGCTGCGGAGACCTGTCGATGCCGCCCTGCTTATCGTGGTCATCGGATTGCGACATGATCACTTTGTAGCCGACCCGTTCAATCTGAAAAGGGATCTGATTAGAAGATTCGGCCAGATTCGAGATGCGTTTTCTAATTAGGACGCTTCCTCATCAATAAGGCACGTCCCATTACGTCCTGCCATTCGGGCGAAACCTTCTCGACCTCGAGGTTGTAAAAGGTAGGGAGTTCTGAAGGCGGAAAAGGTACCTGTCAACTCTCGCGTCTCTGAAGAAAGGAAGCTGTGGGTCCTTTCTACTCTCCCCTTCTCCTTTTGGTCTCCGGGCGGCGGTAGCGGTGAGAAAAAGTAAGTCGTCCTCTTTCAGCTTCTTCTCCTCGTCTTGGCCTTCTACTCTCTCTTTTTCGCAGCTCCTACGCCATTGGCACGCCACTTCAGCCCGCAAACCGCTACCTGCTCGAACCGACGCCTGACAATAACCGGGCTTGAAGCACTTTTGTGTTTTCGCCCAATTTTTCAGATGGGAGTACGAATCTGAAATTCATCCCTTTTGAAAAATTATGGTTCGCACCAGCGTCGCTGCAGCAGTCACAGGCTGTACTGTGGCGAATGACGCTGCTCTGCTTTTGTGTTCTTCTTGCGCCTTCTCGTGCATCCTTTCCATGCTCGATCAATTCGTTCTTTTCGTGCTGTTTTCGGTATTTTTTTTGCTTGGCCACGCCTATTTCGAATTCCAGGCGGTGAGTTGGGTTCTGTCTCTTCAGCAGACACGCATCTTGCGTTGTGTCGCGCCGAGTTGGGTGTTCGAACGATGCTGCACCAAAGCATCTCCTCATCGCCCCTGCAGCAGTACGGCTGGAAGCTGCCACCATACGAGACCTTCCGCGTGCTTCTGGTGGGCGAACAAGCGAGCTGCAATGCACTGCTGGGGGCGCTACTGAGAAGAGAAGATTTGCTTCGCCGAGCGGTGGGAGAGGGTGATGCTGCAGAGGGAAGTGATCAACGGCGGCACATTGTGGAAGAGAAAATTCAATCTCACGGCCAGGTGCTCAATTTCATCCTCGATGAGCGATTTCTTTCCATTGACGATGAAGAGGAGATGACCGCGGACTACGACGAAGACATCACTGCCGACGTGACTGAGCCCCAGATCGATGGCCAATCGTCGGGCGATGGAATCCTCTCTGCGTATCTATCTCCCATGCGACGATTGGCCTCAACAACCTCCAAGATGCTCATGAACGGTGTCGCGGCCTCACCACCCCACGCTGCGGTGAGCGACGCTGAGCTGGAGGAGACTGTGCGACGGCGGCGCAAGAACGACGCCATCCTGCAGTTCATCCAGGACAAGAGCCAGAAGCTCGACCTCGTCTGGTTCTGCTTCTCGCACCAGAACTGGACCGACAGCAACACACGCAAGGAGGCCAGGTACTTCTGCCAGCTCGCCTGTCTCCCTCCTCGCTCCCTCTCGTGCCTTCGAGTTGAGTGGGTGATGGTGGAGTGAATGTACTCACCATCGCGATTGGCACTGTTTCTTGGCCATCAGGATGAGGCGGGAGGCAGACTTCATTCAGCGGAAGCTCGGTGCAGAGACGCCAGTCCTTGTCGTGCACGTCCTCTTGTCACCCTACGAGAGCGATTTGGGCAAAGCAGAGAACGTCAATGCTGTGCGGTACGAGATGCAGCGAACGGCGGTGTAGTGTACTCTCGTAGGCCCTGCTGATCACCCGTTCACTGCACAGATGGATGAGCAACTTGAAGGCCAACATGAAGCAGGACGGTAACCCACTCGTGGTTCTGCCCGCGCACCTGGGCTCAGATGAAAGAGACAGCCACGTATGCCTACTTCCCATCCCCATTCGTTCCGCACGGCCGGCGAATTCGACTAAGCCCGTGTTCGTGTGATGCGTTCCCTTTGTGCCAACACAGTTGGAAGCGGTGGCCAAGGAAACGGTGTGGTCATTCGTGAAGCATCAGTGCGTCCAGCTGCCCGGAGGCTCCGTCTACAACGGCGATGTAGTGCACGGCAGGGTGAGCTTACTCTCTTCTTTTCTATGGGCATTGTCCATGTAGATGTGGGAGGCGTGCTGTTGGGCTTACACGACTGCTCGCACAGGTGCATGGATTCGGAAAGGAGGAGGGACCCGGGGGGAGATAGCTTCCTCGGGGACTGGGTGAGCGGACTCAAGCACGGCTTTGGAACCGTCAGGTTGGCGGTCTCCTCCGTTCCACTTCTCTGAATTCCACCGGCGTGACGCTGTACTCACTCAAGGTTGGACGTGCCACTGCTGCTCAGGTATGGCAATGGAGACAAATACGAGGGGACCTGGGAAGCAGGCATGCGACACGGCAATGGCCGGTACTGTCCAGCACCCTCACGCAGCAGTGAATGCGTGATAGACGGCAATGATCTGCCCTGGTGCTGATGTTTGCGTGCGTTGCGGCTTCGTTCGAACTGGCGTCATCTCAGATACACGTGGCCGAGCGGACGCTACTTCGACGGCATCTGGGCGCAGGCGAAGCGAGAAGGCCCCGGCTGCACCGTTTTCCCAGACAAATCCAAATGCGATGGCGTGTGGATCGACGACAAACCTGGTACAGACGCCTTCTTCACAGAACTACGTTCTGTTCCTTGATGACAGACAATTTCTTCTTCTTTTCAACATTTTCAACATCACACCTGCGGTGTGCGCAGTGGGTCCAGGGAAGATCACCTACGAGAACGGGGACTCCTACTTTGGCTCGATTGTTTTCCAGGCCCAGAGCAACTCCTCGCTCCACCCCATCGACTACGTCGTGAGTCGATCAGGCGAGGTACGCGTGGTCAGCCGAGATCTCATCAGTCCGGTTGGTGGTTGGCGTTGTGGTTGGGTGGACCAGTTAGGTCTCACTCTTGCTTCGTACGATTGGCTCGTCAGGGGGAAATGCACTATGTCGAGGGGTCCCGCTACGTGGGCACCTTTGACAAGGACCAGCGGAACGGGTACGGCATGTACGTGTTCGCCGACGGGGAGCGATACCAGGGCATGTGGAAGAACAACCAGCGCCACGGCTACGGCAGCTTCCAGTACAACGAGGGGACCGTTTTCGAAGGTAATAGGCCGCTTACGGCGATCTAGATCGTGTGTTGGGCTGCCTCGCGCCCTCCTGCTAAGTTCTTCCCTTGCTGCTGCTTTATTCATGTTCGTTCACAGGGACGTGGTGGCAGGACGGCCGGAGAGGAGAAGGCCGCCTGTGTCTCGCCAACGGCGACGTGGTGGTGGGGTCGTGGCAGGGCGAGCAGATATCGCAGGCCACCTACACGAAGGGCAGCCTCGCACAGGCCACCAAGTACGCATCCCACCACACAGTTCAATGAGTGTCGTCCGCCACTCTTGCGGGTCCAGAATCTTACATTTTTTCTGGCTTCTCCACAAGATCTTCACAGCGCCTGCTGACGAACACCCTCAAGACGGCCAAGAAGTTGGGCCAAGGCGAACTGATCGTCTACGCCCAGAAGTGGACCGGCTTTTTCCGTGAAACGTACAACATAGCACATATTCCTCACACTCCTCCCATCTCTTCTCTTCTATGCCGCCCTCTCATCGCGAACACATGCTCCCCAGCGATGCCACGCCCAAGTCTCCGGTGACGCTCACCAGCTTTGCCGACCTCGCCGCCTTCATCGGGTACCCACCACCAACACTACACCTCTTCGCCGGCAGGACACACCTCAACTCAACTCAACATTTCTCCTCCGTCGTTTGTGCTCGCAGAAGCCACGATCATCCGCTGGGCCAGCCCGTGGCCCGTTTTGTAAATATGTTCGAAGCGCTGTACGGCGACTTCGCGGAGGAGGACGTGATCCACCTCATTCCCACGGCCGTCGACGACGTGGCCTCGTTCATCAGTACGTCTCCGTACCTTCCCCTACACCTTGTGCTCAGGCACCAACACCACACCAAATTGGGTGTCCACGTCAGCCTACGGACACGGAGAGCTGATCAAGAGAACGCGATGGGAGCCACCACTAAGCGAGAAGGAGGGAAACAAGTACGGCTCTCACTTCGCACTCTATCCCGCCCGCCCGCTCGCCCGCCCGCTCGCCACCTTAAGTGAAACCACTCACCACCACACGCACGGGCGCACAGGCTTATACTGATGGCCCTTAAGGAGGCAGTGTTCTCTCGCATCTACCCGCGCTTGTTCTCGCTTTACCGTATCAAGGTATGTTGTGTTGCACGCGGACTTGCGCAGAGGTCTCACATGTACGCTACGCACGCACGCACGCACGCACCACAACAGAACCGGAAGAAGGACATCCTGTTCAAGGCCAAGCTGGACTCACTGTGGCGCGTGATGCCGCGCGACCTCGGCATCCAAATGGCCTGGGAGAGCGAGTGGGTCGACGACGAGGTACGAGGGGCCAGGGCCCTATGGATTCCGCGCAGCTCCACGCTGATACCGTGTGGGGCTACACACACACACACACACACACACACACACACACACACAGGTGGCCAACGGGTCGCCCAAGAGTGCCCTCCAGGCGCGCCATCGCAACCGGCGGACCGGATCGCTCTCCGGGCTGGACATCCCCTCCAGCTTGTACGCGCACGCACGCACACACCCTTCCTCCCGCGCAGTGGTGGTGGCTGACGCCCAGATATAATCTGGGGATTCGCAGGCAAATCGCCAAACACCACCCGTTCCTGGCCGCCATTCGAAGTCTGCGCAGCGTGGACGGTACGCACGCATACGCTTTGTGTCGAGCCATCGTCATTTGTCTCACCGGTGCGACGGTCGGGGCTACGTTTGCGGGGGATTGCCAGGCGAGTACACGCTGCGGGGGAAGCTGCAGTGCTTGATGGACTGTTCGAAGCACATCCTGGTGGGTTGCTCGCCGCAGAAACAGAAGGGGAGCCAGCCCCACCAGAATCTGTCCTCTCTCGGCCGGAGCCCGCTGGTCTACATGTACTCGCGCCCTCCACACACGCCCCGTGACCTGCGTTGTCGAGGCTTACGTTGCTAACACATGACACGACACACGCGATACGCACGACACACGACACGCACGACACACGCAGTGGGGCTGAGGAGAAGTTCCCGGTGTTCGTGTTCGTGGTGATCAAGGCCAAGGTGAGCGACCTTCATGCGCACGCCGACATGCTCTCCGACTTCCTGCCCCAGCAGACCATCACAAAGACCGGTACGGTGTCGCACCTCCACGCAACTGGCGCGGCGCGGCGCAGTGCTTACCTTGCACACGACACGACACGACACGACACTCGCAGAGGGTGGCTATCGCTTGACCGAGCTCAAGGCGGCGATGGAGTTCGTGATGAAGCTCCACCCGAACCTGCGCAACGCCAGCGGCGAGCTGGTGCCACTGTCGACCATCAAGAACGACCTCAAGCTCGCCGTCGCCTCCGCCCGGCAGCGCCTGGTCGTCCACCAGCGCGAGGCCGAGGCCGAGCGCGAGCGCCGGGCGGCCCAGTCCGAGGAGGAGGCCAAGACCGCGGCGCCGTCGTCGTCCTACCGCGACTTCCTGCGCTCGCGCAGCCACGGCCGGGCCACGTCGGGCGATGGTCACTTCAAGATGGGCTTCCTGGTGGACCTGCTCAAGGAGGTGGCCCACCGCGACGCCACCGCCACGGCCGCCGACGACTTCTACGCGCCCATCACGCTCGAGCCCGAGGAGAAGCGGATGCTTCGGAACGAGGCCCACCTGCAACTCCTCCAGAGCGTGCTCAACTCCATCGGCATGACCATCGTCACCGTCCAGCCGGTCGACCAGCCGCCATCTTCATCTTCATCATCGGCACCATCGTCAGCGGCATCACCATCATCACCGTTCCAGCGCGAAAATGGAGCGCACGTAGACGAAGGAGACGAAGATGAAGAGGCGGCGGGGGGGAAGGAGAAGCGGGCCAAGTCGCTGTCACACGGCCGGCTTCCCTCGGTTGGCCCAGCGGACGGCTCGACGAGTGGCGGCTGCTCGCACCACCCTCGCCACCCGCATCAGGGGCTGCGGCTGCCCGACGCAACCAGCGGCGGCAAGCCTCCAAAGCCGGAGATGCGCCTGGAGATCACCCGGCGCCTGCCCCTCTGGGTCTACAACCAGCTGGCCGACACCCTCGCCCTTCACCTCCCGTGATGAAGCACAAAAAGCGAGTGTTGGACCAGCAGCAGCGGAACAGATTCTCAAGACCACCTACGTTACGTTGCTGTTGGCTTCTCCCTCGAGGGTGAGGTGGCCACTGTGAAGTAGGCGAGCATGGTGTTGCCCTGCGGCGTGGCGTTCTTGTTCGTCTTGGCTCGCTTGGGGCTGGTGGGGCTGCTGCCCTGTTTGGCCACTCGGGTGGTGATGGTGGCGGGGCTCTTAGCGGGGCTGGCCGGCGGCGAGGGTCGTTTGAGCGCCGAAGAAGAAGGCGAGGTGGGAGGTGGCATCGCCATTACTGAAGCAACAGAAGATGATGACGACGACGACGAAGGGAGTGTCGAGGTAGAAGGCAGTGGCGCAGAAGAAGACGAAGACGAAGACGCTGCCGAGAAGAAGGTGGCGATGCCGCCCTTGGGCGGCTCCGTGGAATGGAAGTCCCGAGCACTCATTCCCGCCCAGCGCACCTTCCACCTGACCAATCACCACCCACATCGGTCAGCACACGCTCTCGATTGAAGGGCGTGTGCGTGGTGGCAGGAATCGAGTGCGTACGCGCGGTCGCCCACGGTGGAGTTGAAGACCTGGAAGGCCAGCGAGCACATGGCATCGGCCGATGCTGATGCGGCCGCCTCACCACTGCTGGCGCCACGACCTGGCCCCGCGCCCTCGACGTCTTCCTTCGCTCGCATCTCCCGCACCCGGTCGGTGACCTTCTTCATCGTCATCGTGTGCGAGCTCTCCTTTTCATTGACCAGCCTGAAATAACAACAACAACAAGACGACACGTCATCATCATCATCATCATCAACAGCTTCGGTCACACTTCAGACTTTGCGTTGTGGCACATAAGACACTGAGAGGAAACGAACCGGAAGGAGAAGTTGAAGGTCCTGGGCTTGCGCTTCCAACGGAGCTCGTCCTCTTTGAGTCGCTTGCACAACTCGTCGGCCAGATAGCGCAGGATCTTCTTGAACTGGTAGGCGTCGTTGGTGATCGACGTCAACGACATCGACGACATCAATGACTTGGGCGGGCCTGAGAATAACGCACGCACCTTCAGTCAACCATCGACGAAGAACACAATCACACATCGAAGGGGGTGGTGACCTTTGTCCTTGACGGGCGTGTCGTCGATTCCCTGGCCGACGCGATGCAGCCACTCGGCCTTGTCGTCCCCGAACGCCAGCCTGAGCTCGGGCAGCAGTGAGGCCGAGGCCAGGTCGGAGATGACCTTCACCCGGTCCGTCCACGGCGCGGCGAGCAGCACCCCGCGCTTCTCCTTCCCCAGCTTGACTCCTGACCCGGGGGAAAGTGGTGAGTTGGCGTGTGCGTGTGCGGTGGCGCGTGTGCGTGTGCGTGTGCGGTGGTGCGTGTGCGGTGATGATGGGTGCGCGTCGAGGCAGAGGGTCTCACCGAGCTGGGGAATCTTGCTGGGCGGGTGGCGCGCAAGCATGGAAGGGACGGAGCCGGGGAGGACGGTGGTCTGGCCGTCGGGCTTGCTGGCGCTCGATGCCAGCTTGGCCAGGAGCTTGTTCTGGGCGACCCCCGCCGAGACGCGCAGCCCTGGGTGTCATCAGCGCCCGACCGACCACACATACGCGCGATTAGCCCCTCAAGGGCGCCCAGTGGAGCAACATCTGGTGGTGGTGGTGACAGACGTCTGTCGGCTTACCACACTTGGTGTGGACGGCTTCGCGGAGGGACGCGGCGATACGCGCGCCCTCACGGAGCTGCACCTCCTGCGCGGTGAGGATGTGCGCCGAAACCAGACCCGGTCCCTCGACCGCGCCCGGCCACTCGCTTGACTGCGACGCCATCTGCGACGCTGCCGATCACCACGAGGGGACGACGAACTCGTAAAAGTGGTGACCTTTGGACTTTTGTTGGCAATTGATGACGACGACAATGATGAGATGGTGAATGGTGTACCGGGCATGTCGAGATCGTTGATTAGAAGGCCGCGCTCGAGTTGAGCGGCCACCAACGGCGTCACGTCCACGTAGAAGTCGTCGATGCTGGCCTTCTCCACCTCCGGAGGCGCCTCAGCTGCGTACCCACGATTGTCATGTGGGTTGACATAAAGAAGAAGGAGAGAAAGAGTCTACCTTCTCTGTCTTCCTTTTGGAGTTGACTCCGGAAGCAGCCGCGGACTGGAGCGAGGCGATCGTGTTCTGCAGCAGCGTTTGCACGCCGGCGGAGGCCTTCTGGTAGTCCTCGTACGTTACCTTTGACGTTCCCTCCGTTCTCCTCACGTGCACACTGTCGCACACACCATCGCACCACCGCACACGCACAGCACGACACGTGCGCCACCGCACACGCACACACAGCGCTGTGAGTGTGCGGCCCTGTACTGTATTGGAGCCGGGCGGTGTTCGGCGCGTACAGCTTGAGGTCGGGGCAGAGGGCCAGGGCCTCGGCTGGGGTCATGTGCTTCCGCACGCCCCTCCGCCGGGCCGCGTAGTCCGCGGAGATGATGTCGTTGTGCTGCTGCACTGCTACTGCATGGCCCGCCAGCCTCGGGTCCTATAAGCCCCCACTCCCATCGGCTTCAGTCTCGAGAGGGCCACTCGAGGTAGAGCAGATTAATAAGAAACTGTACCTTGAGAGTTTCGACCTGCACGAAGAAGCAGTCCAAGTCCAGGTGTAGGACCACCCGGCCAACGTGGGAAGAAGAGCCAAGCTCTTCCATCTTCTTGAGACGTTGTATTGATCAATTCATCAGGGGTGCTGCTTCGAGGAAAAAATATCAAGTAAATGGTTAAAAAAAGAAAAGAGAGAGCAAAAAGAACAAAAAAAAAGAGAGGAGGCAAGAGAGGGATGATAGAGTACATTCTGTTGGTGAACAAGCAGGGGCAGGCGCGGGTTTCCAAGTACTTTGATACCCACCGACCACCAAAGGAGCGCGTACTCTTCGAAACCGAAATCGTTCGCAAATGCCTTCTCCGGGCCGATGACCAGGTTCTCCCCCCCCGCGTGGCCCCCGTGCAAAATAATAAATAATAAATAATTCCATCAAATCATTATTTGTTTCAGGTACTAAATAATAAATAAAATCATTTTAATCTCGGTTTCTGTGTCGCAGTGCGGGTTTGTGGAGCACCAGGGGCGGAAGGTGGTGTACCGGCGATACGCCTCTCTCTTCTTCATCGTTGGCATCGACCACAGCGAGGTACAATGCAGCTGCGTACACCCGAGAGCGCTTCATTGCCCTGTGTGACACCTCACACTGAACCCGCCAGAACGAGTTGGCCGTGTACGAGTTCATTCACAACCTGGTGGAGCTCTTCGATCGCTACTTCCGCCAAGTCGTACGCTCTCTGCCTTTGCGTGTGATGCGTTTGCGCTGCCAGCGCCAAATGTTCACTGCGTGTTGCGTTGTGTGCGTTGTGTGTCGGTGTGTGCGGTGTGTGCGGTGTGTGTGTGTGTGTGTTGGTGTGTACAAACATGCGCACTCATTCACTACAGTGCGAACTTGATGTACGTCTCCCTTTCCATCTCCATCACTTTCGCGTGAGTTCAGCTCTGCCCACTGTGCTCACCAGTCACCACACACCGCGACTCAACACAACAAACAGATCATGTTCAACCTGGAGAAGGCCCACATCCTCATCGACGAGATGGTCGTCAACGGTTGCCCTCCTCCCCCATTGCCCACCCTGCGCAGCGCATCTCACCCACCCATCCACAGGCTGCATCACTGAGTCGAGTCAGGCCGAGGTGCTCGATCAGCTGTCGCTCATCGACCTGGAAGTCTCGCGAGGCAAGTAAGGCGGTAACGTGTGAAACGCATAACACACAATAAACCAAACAAACATTGAATGTGTTCACCATTAGAAGTTGGTTGGTTGATTGATTTTATTGGGACGTGGTTGTTGGTGATCAAGGTGGTAGTGATGCCACCACACACACACACGTTGATGATAAATAAATAATATCACACATGTTAATGAAATAAATAATTGGAGAAAGAATAGAATAGAGAATATAGAGAGAGCAAAGAATATGATGGTCGTGTCGTCGTGTCGTTCGGCGCCCGCAACACACACGCTCTCGGTTCTAGGGAGCAAAATGAACCGGAGCGGTGCGTGCGTGTGCGTTGTGTGGGACAACGACGAAGTAGAAGGCGGCGGCGGTGTCGAAGTGGCAGACCTTTTAGACCTCCTCCTGGGCCCTGAGCTCCTGCATCTTCTGCCTGAGCTTGTTCTTGACGGGGAGCGAGACCTCGAGCTCCTTGAACTCCTTCTCGGTCATGTTGAGGAAGAAGTCGAGGTCGGTGATGCGCAGGCGCCGGAAGTCGGCCCGCACGTCGTCGAGGTCCTTCTTGCCCTTCGGGTCGTTCTCGTCGAAGATCGACTTCAGCGCGTCGTCGAGGTCCACCATCAGGTAGCCACGGTCGCGGCGCCTCTTGCGGTCCTTCTCCTTGTTCTTCTCCGACGCGATGAGGGCCAGCAGGCGCCCGGTGGCGGCGGCGGAGAGGCCCGCCTTCTTGAGGTCGGCCTCGGTCTGCTTGAGGAACTTCCGGCGCTTGTAGACCTTGGCCTTCTTCAGGGCCTTCTCGACCTCGGCCAGCTCGGCGGCGTCGTTGTGATCGCCCTGGTCGTACTCGATGTGCAGCGTGTCCTTGAGGTCGTCACGCAGCTCGCGCAGCTCGTCGTCGGACTCGTCGCTCGAATCGCTCGAGTCGCTGGACTCGGCGTTGCGCTGCTTCTCGGGCTTCTGCTTCTTCTCCTTGGGCATCTTCTGCATGGGCGTGCCCGCCTCCAGCTCGCTCGTGCGCTTCTCAAAGCAACCGAGGAACATCCACAGCAGCGCTACGCACACGCACACGCACACGCCATGTGAGCACACCGCAACACGACACGACACGACATGACACGACACGACACACGCAACACAATTGGCTCGGTGTGATGTGGAGTTGATGACGTACAGTAGAGCATGATGAAGGCGAAGAGGGCGGCCTCGATGACGGCCCAGGCGAGGGCGGCGTTCCACTTGGGCGGGATCTCGCTGCACTTGGTCTCCGGGTCGATGAAGTCGTTGGGCCTCAGCCAGTCCTTCTTCTCCTCGAACTGACGCGCTGCACGGTGGTCGCAATCATCAACAACAAACAGTAGCGTAGCGGTGATGGTGAGCCAGCCGTTGAAGAAGGAGATACTGTTGGTTTGTGGCGGTTAATGGTGAGCGACGACGTACAGGTGGTGGCGACGACGGAGGCGTAGAGGCCGAAGAGGACCAGGGAGAGGAGGAAGACGGGGATGGGCAGGAGGAAGCTGGTGACGAGGTTGGGGCGGCAGCACGAGATGACGGCGCCCAGGACGGTGACCAGAATGAACGGGATCAGCACCAGGCCCACCACGAACGAGACGCAACCTGGCGAGTCGGAGTTAAAAAACGAGTCAGTTTAACTCCGATGTGAGTTCACCACCAAGACCGGAAAACAGATAACAACAAATAACATAACTTTGCCTAAAATAGGGTTTGCGCTCGTGGAGCTCCATAGCATTACAAATAAATAAATAATAATAAGAATAATAGAAAAATAAAGATCTTCAGTGCGGAGATAGAAAGGGTACCGGCGGCAAGGCCGAGGTTGGCGGCCGAGTCGCGCATCTTGGCGTCGTCGTGGCACCACCGGAGCTCGCCGTCTTCGGAGTCGTTCCAGTTGCGCACGTCGGCGTAGAGGCCCACCACGATGGGCGAAATGATGACCGCCAGCAGCGCAATCAGCGCCACGAACACGGCCAGCGTTCGGTGGAGAATGAGGCACATCTCTATAAAGTAGTTGGTGTTGGCGTTGGTGTTCTTCTTTCCGAGCGGCGGTAGTTCCTCTCACCAATGTCCGTAGCAGCAGTGGTGTCCCTCTGGACGCGGTGGTGTGTTGATGTTGGTGCGGGAGGTGAATGATAGAAGAAAAGAAAGAGACGAGGCGCGAGCAAAAAGGGCACCGCCGGCGAAGTACAGCGGGGCGGGGTTGGAGCAACCGACCAATTGGTAATTGTAGCGCTTCTGGGTGCACGCAGAAGAAGTGGGGGTGGTGCACGAGAGTGTGGTCCCGTTGTTCCGCCCCTCGCGCTCGGGGCGTCCATAGCACCCAACCATGTTCGGAATGTTCGCTGTTCGGTCGCGGGTGCCCGCTTGGGATTGCGACCCGATCCAACCCCAATGAGCACTCATCGCCCCGCCGACAGACGGTTGAGCCACCGGCTATTTATTAATGAGTGCCTCATGCGCTTCAAGGAAGGCCAATACCGGGTCATGTAATCGACCACTCACGGAGGCCCACCTATTCGTCGTCCAATCATTCAACGACTTTTCGATCGGCCCCACCTGTTCTCCGTTCTCAAGATATCCCCCACTTACGCCTTATGGTCCGCACCACTTGGTCCCTCTACGCTTCCTTGTAGTAGCCGGGCTGTGGTGCGCTTGGCCCCGCTTCTCATCTTGGCCCTTGCGGCGTGTTCGTTCGTTCGTTGAATGAACACATCGTTCCATTCCTCGACAATTAGAGACACCGCGCGCATGTTCATGTTCGTTCATTGAACACATCTTTCCTCATCTACAATTATAGACACCGCCACCGCCACCAGAGCGCCAACACGCAACATGCCTCCGTGGCTGCCACGCCCATTCACACTCGCACCGCCGCGACCGGCTGGCCTGGCCGCTCGGAGATCAATGATTGACTTGAATGTCGAGCGCGAGCGCCTCTGGCTCAGTCGACGCTTGCTGCTCCTGCTCATGCTGCTCCTCCTGCTGCAGCTGCTCGTAGTGCAGATCGTCGTCGTTGGTGTGTACGGCGACCACCACAGAGTTGTGGCTTTCGGCGTCGGCGTCGGCAGAGGTCGAACTCGAGGTCGAGGAAGAAGAAGAGAAGCTGTCGGCGAGGCCGCGACGCTTCTCCTGGATGAGCTCCAGGGTCTGTGCGTAGATGGTGTTGGCGAGCTCGACGCCCTCGGTCACCGTTGTCACCGCGCTCGCCACATAGGGGTTGGCCATCGCCATGCCACCCACCTCTGCCGTCTTCTCCCACGCTCTCTGCGTCACCGCATGTCGCTCTGGTGTGACAAGCGCACGCACGCACACAACACACGCAGGCACGTCGCAAGCGCACGCAACGAGAAATGATGCGCAGGATGACAGTGTAAGCGAAGACGCCAGCAAAGGCGGGCGCAGAGGAGGCAGGCAGCGCGTACGATCGAAGGAGTTGAGATAGCGGACTGTGGCGTGCCAGAAGCTCTCGGCCGCGACGATCGACTCGGCCAGCACCTCGGCCACAGCCGAGTACTCCTGCAAGCACCGCCGAGAGATTAATTGAGAAAGAGGTTCAAGACCGCTTTGGATAGCTATTGAGGTTGTGCATGTCTTAATGATGAAATCAATTGAGGTGACTAATGTGTAAGGATCGATCGATAATCTGCGCACCTTCTGCTCGGGGATGGCATCGAGATCCTCTTCGATCAGATTAATCTTCTCCTCCTTCAATTGATCGGGTTCCATACTATGCCAACACAAATCTTATCGATCTTCCTTATCTATCAATTGGCGTAACACAATGGATAAATGGTGATGCAACTGTCAGGAGATTGCGCCACGTCCGCAAATTGGCTGCATTCCATAAATACTTCAAAAAAGGTTAATTAATTACACTATGTCGTGGTGTGTGGTGGTTGTTGTGGAGCAGTGGTGCAGGGGCAGCACACCCGGACATTACGCGGGGGGCTGGGGTTCGATTCCTCACTGTTCCTTTTCGGCGACGACCAAGCGCGGGCGATGCGACATCATCAGATCAGGCGATCGTCGTCTTCTTGGATGTTGCCAGATGCAGAAGCGGGTCTGCTGCGCGTGTGCTTGCCCTTGGTGGTGGATCGCGAAGGCGGCTGGGCGACGATGGGCGTGATGTCGTGGAAGCGCGAGAGGTCGACCACGTACTTGCCCGATCGCTTGTCCTGGCTCACCACCGGCACCAACCGCGCGTCCCATATGATCTCTGCACGAACGAACGAATGAATGGTATTTTGTTTGCATCACCAATCGATCGGAGACACGATCACTCAACGACGCACCTCTGTATGTGTAGGACCATCTCGCTTGCAACTGCTCCGAACAACCCTGCAATACAAGGGTCGTGTCAGGCACGAACGAGGGAAGGGGTACTAACAAATATACTAATGAGACTAATAACAATGCAATGACTCGAACCTCGTCGGTGCCGTCGAGTATGGCGATGATCTCGGTATCGGAGGCGGCGAGGGAGGCCGGGGTGGCACCGTGCAAAGGGCTCCGTTCGTCCATGGCGTGGACCACCGTCCACGGGAGGGGGAGAAGGGCCGAGGAGAAATCCACACCGCGTGCTCTGTGCGTGCGTGCGTGCGTAGTGGTGAGTGTAAGCAATTACTACTCGTCGCACAGGGAAGAGGGTAGTTACGTTACCTATTCTCCATGGAGTGGATTTCATAGTTCAGTTCGTGAACGCGGATGCATCCCTCTTCTTCGCCCGTGTCCCACCGTTCGCTCTCCTCATCGCCGCGCACCGGCTCGCGTCGCAGCATCAACAGCCGAAAGCGTGGCTCGCACACCTGGCTCCGCCTGGAGTTCGGCCGTGAGCAGGCGGACGGATGAGGCACGCCAGGCCAGGCCAGGCCAGGCCAAGCAAGTCAGGAGGGAGGCCGTGCCTAGTGTTGGAGAAGCGAAGAACGAAGCAAGGCGCGCCGCCCTGCACGTAGTAGCCCTCGGACAGCCGATCCGGATTGCCGTACCAATACCGCTCCTGGTTGTTGACGACGGCGAGCTCCGAGAACATGATGTTGCGCTTCTGGCGAGAGGGTCGGCCGATCTTGGCGAACACGAACCCTGGTTTTTTTTCGTGTGATCACAGCGCGGGCGTGAAGGCGACCAGAGTGCGGGTGAGCGGCTGGCCTAGTCGAGGCCCAACGCAACGAAGAAACTCTACGGCACGCGGCTGGTTAGTAGTACCCGTGATAATGGCGGTGGAGAGCATGCCCCAGAATGCCTGTATGCACACCAGCACATTGCAGTAGACGGACTCGGGGCTCAATCCTCCGTAGCCTGTACACGACAGCACGCATTCAGCAGCGACTCGCCATGTGACGAGCTCTGGCCGAAGGAGCAGGGTGGATAGGGAAGGAAGGAAGGCGGACCGATGGTCTGCATGGTCTGGACGGAAAAGAAGAAGCAGGTCCAGAAGTCGATCAGTGTGTTTTCCGCCGAAGGCTTCAGCCCACCCAAGCCACCCCTGTCTGTGCAGTTACGCAGGACCGACACCGCGCATGTCGCACTTGGTGAGCGAGGAAGGGGGTTTGGGTGATGAAGCCGCCGAAAGAAGAAGAAGAAGAGGGTGAGACTGCACCCTGGTAGTAGAGGAAAGCGAAGAAGAGGTGCTCAACGAAGAAGAACAGACAGAGGCCGATCAGGAGCTTCCACCACTTCGTGTCCAGCAGCGCGTGGTAAAGATCGGCTGTTTTCTGTTAATGCTTGTGCTGATTGATTTCCAAAAGTGTGGGCGCAGGTACGTACCGAAGAGGGGCGCGATGGGTGCACCTCGCCGTTGGAGATTAAATTTGTAGGGGTTCTCTCGAGTGATGAGGCGGCACTGGGTGGAGTCGTGCAAGGGCGTCCATCCGCTCCTCCTGCCGGACCACCTGCTCCAGCATCGGCTGAATCGCCCCGTCTTCTGAAGGAAGGGCGCCGAGGAGGTGGGAGATTCGAAGATGGGCGGCAGCGAGGACCCCATCATGCTCAGACTCGACCCAGAGCTGCTCCGAGGGAACACATTGAGTTCATCATACGACCTGAAGTCGTGTGGCTCCATCCAGGACCACAGCAACGAACAGATTACAAAAGAATAAAATGACTATTTATTTATTGCTTGTTCAACCGCTTCCCTGCCAAAGGAAAGCAAGTTGAGGAGTGTCGATGTAAACTTGTGTTCGAGTTGATGAAGACGATGCGGTCGCACCAAGGTGACCACGGATCACACGAAGACGTCGGTCTTCTGTTGGATGGTCTTGCGACAGAGCGGGCACTGCGTGGTCTTGTCGCCGCAGGCCTTGCACGAGCACAGGTGGCGGCAGGGCAGGAAGAGTACGCTCTTCTTCTCCGTCCAGCAAACGACGCACTGGCCGTTGGCCTCCTCGTCGCCTTCATCGCCTCTCTGCATGTCGTCGACACCGCTTTGCTGTTCTTCTTCGAGCGCTTCTTCTTGAGCTGCCAGCTGTCTGGCAAGCTGTTCGTCAGCCTCTTCCATCTTCCTCCGCTTGATCGCCTCCGCTTCGTCGTCGTCGTCGTCGTCGTCGTCGTCTTCATCATCAACGTTGTCCTTCTTGACCTGATCTCCTTGCTCCACGTCATCGTGCTTTCTCTTCTTCTCGCCCTCGACTTCTCCGCCAACGTTTCCTCCCTTCTCCACGTCGGCTGAGATCTTCTCCGGGAAGAAGGGCTGCTCGACTTTGCGAACGGTCTCGAGGAAAGTCAGCTCGTCGTTAAGCGAAGGGTCTTGGATGGCCTCCATCTCCTTCTTGTAGAACGCTGTAACATCAACAATTAAGCCGTCTAAGGTTAGTCGCCACGAATCTTGTGAGTGGGCGTGCCCGCGTTGGGTGGGTGTACCGATGAAGTCATTGAGCAGCTGGAAGCGGTTGGCAGGCGTGATGAGCGATAGATAGCGCGTGGGCATGGGCGCAGCGACCGTGGCGGCCATCGACGGGAGACCCAGCGCCTGGTTCCTCACCTCCAGGTACGGCCTGATGAAGTCGGTGTAGTATACCTGCACAGCGACATACCAGGCGAAGGTGAGTCTATGATTCCCAATGGAAAAGGCATCAGCCAGTGGTTAACATACAAGCAGTACGGCCTTTCGGATGCCGACATCATCAATGTGGCCCTCCTTGAACTGGAGCTGCTTGATGTCGGTTTGCTCGATACCCAACAGGTTGTCCCACTTGGATCTGGATGAGAAAAGCTCTACGTCAGCCAAGGATCATCTGAAGACCGCATCGCCAATGACGACGAGATGACGCGTACACGAGTGTGAAAGGCGAGTCAAGGCCGGCGGGCTCCTTCTGGCTGACCTTGAACAGGAAGAGGCCGCCCCGAGTCTCACCCTTCTCGTTTTGGGTCGAAGGGAAGAGGGTGGAGTGCCTAGCGTGGCCGCCGGGCTGGAGGTTGCTCACTTCGGGCGAGCCGTAGCCCGAGTGAAGCTGCCACACGTCAGAGTTGATACCAAGGCTGACGTTGAAGCCGGTGGGGGTCTGATAGCGAAGGAAAACAGTGTGAGCGTTCTGTTTCTGAGGGTTGATGGTGGAGTGAGGTCCAAGGCCATACCACGGTGTAATCGAACTCGTTGTCGATCATCTCGCGGAAGTCCTTGTTGGAGATGACGGTGGCGTAGTTGCAGCCCGGAGTCTTGCTGGTCTCCTCCACTGTGTCGCGAGCCAGGTCCATGCCGATGCCGATGATTGTGGACCACAGCGACACCTCGGAATTCTGCTTGACAGTGGCGATGAACTTTCTCTCGTCATCCGAACCAGCTTCCATATCTACGGACAGGTACAGAGACGTCAATGAGCCAATGAGCCAAACAAACAAACATACGACCACTCAACATTCCACACATGAAGCAGCACGTACCAGTGAGGAAAAAGACACGACTCGACCTGTTGGGTCCCTCCTCGGCCTTGGCAAACATCTTTGTGGCCGCCTTGAAACCTGCACAGCCAGCCACACGAACAATCATAGATTGTTAGGGACCGTGGTCACAGGAAGAGAGAGAGAGGGAGAGAGACAGCAAACTGGGGCGCTCACCTTCGGTGAGTTCGGTGCCACCACATGCGCGGAGCTTGAGGATGGCCTTCTCCAGGCCGACCTTCTCGATCTCGGCCCACTTGGTCAGCGGCTGAAGCACCGAGGCCTTGTTGTTGAAGAGCACCAGGCCGAAGGCGTCATCATCGCGCAGCTGGGCGAGGAGGGTGAGCAGGCAGTCCTTGGCCACCTGGAGCTTCTTCTGCCCACCACCGACAGACTCGGACTCGTCATCATCGTCGTTGTCATCGTCGTCTCCGCGGAAGGTATCGCCCATCGAGCCAGAGATGTCGAGCGCCACCACCAGGTTGAGCGCGGGCCGGTTGCTGTGGCGGCCCTGCGTGTTGGTCTTCATGCCGATGCCGTCGTACTTGGAGTTGTAGCTGACGCCGACCCAGCAGTCCTCGGCCTGCGTGAGCGGGTCGCGGGTGTGGGCCTGGGCGTAGTGGCACTTGACCTCCTCGTCCTTCTCCTTGTCGCCGGTGATGAAGTAGTGCGCGTAGAACGCAGTGTCGTGGGTGCCGGTGTAGGTGATCTCCGGGATCGCCTGTGGCTGCTGCTGTTGCTCCTCCTCACCACTGGGCATGGCCTGTGCCTTCGCGTAGGATCTCCTGCCGCGCTTGTTGGAGATGGCCTGTGGCTTGGCGAATCCACCACCGGACTTGCCCTGCTGCTGCTGTTGTTGCGCCGCAGCGGCATACTTGCGCGGCGCCTTCCCTCCCACGCTCTTCCTCGCCGTTTGCTTGGTGCGGGCCATGTTCGTATGGTGTGAGCTGGTGTGTCACCGACAGGGAGCGGAGAAGAATGAAGAAAAAGGCGGCCAATTGCGGTATTTGTACCTGGCGAGCCGCTTCGGTGAAAGGGCGCGGTGGCATTTTTCTGGACAGCGAACCTCCCACCCCCGGCCCAACGCACAAGCAGCCCAATGAAGAATCACAGCCGACCTAGTCGAGGGGGTCCACATGTTGTGCTTTGTCTTTGATTCTTTACGAGGCCATTGGGCGGGTTTGTGTTTCTTTCCCACCCTGCACTTGCTCGCCCGCGCCTTTGCCTTGCTTGCGACCTTCTTTTTCCTACCTTTCCTCTTTTTTATTTTCGTTTATTTTATTTTATTTTGGTGGCTGGTTGGCCTCGCCCGCTTGCACCGGATGTGTGCTGCAGTGGTGCTGTCGTGGCCACCGTTATTATACCTCGTAATTATTATCTCTGCAGTTATCTGTGTCTGTTCTGTGTCTGTTCTGTGCTGTCCTGTCTAGCTTCGAGCTGCAGCTTGGTCAACGCAAGTCGTCCCTCGTTTTTCCCGCGCTTCTATCTGGAAAAAGAAATGTGAAAATAAACTCGCCAGATAAGAAATTCAAACGCAAAGATGGCTGACTTCGATGAGAAAGCGGGGACGGTAGACGTCAAGACGAAGGACTACACATGGACGCAGACGATCGAGGAGGTGGCAGTGTCGGTGCCGGTGCCTATCACGACGCGTGGGCGCGATTTGGAGGTGGTGATCAAGAACAACCTGCTCAAGGTCAAATTCAAGAACGACCCGAAGGCGATCATAGATGGCGAGCCCTACGGCACAGTCAAGGCCAAAGAATCGATCTGGACGCTTGAGGACAGAGACAAGGAGACGAAGGAAGTGCGAATCTTGCTGCAGAAGGCAATCTCGCACGAATCGTGGAAGGGACTGCTCAAGGGCGACGCCATTGACTCGTTCACTGCCGACCAGATGGATAGGAAGATGATGCTCGAGAAGTTCCAGAAGGACTACCCAGGCTTCGACTTCAGCGGTGCCGACTTCACAGGCCAGGTGCCCAACGACCCCAAGAATTGGATGAAGGATCTGGGAGCACAGAACGAAAATTGATCTGCCTCACACGATCGCAACGCCCCTATAAATAAACTGTACCTACCCGTGTTCCATCATCATTGAATGCAAATGAACAGCGTCCAGCTATCCCAACAAGAGGTTGCTTCGCTGTGGCACGAAAGAGAGGTCCGGAGCAACAACGAGCTCTTCTCTTTCTCCCAACCGCGGAAGACTAGAAAGAAGTAGAAGCTCAAAGCAAGACGTCACGCAACGGCATCACCTTGAACGTACAACAGCTGTGGTGTGTGAGTCCACCCTTCCTCCTGCCGTGGTACGTGCCCTTCTCTTGCCATCCCGATCCTGCATCTCCATCTCCTTCTCCATCCGCGGATCGTGTGCATTGATGCATCCATCAGATCAAGGAACCTTGCTCACGCACGCCCTGCCACATGCAGATGAACCAGGAGAACAGAGTCGATGCAAGTGTGCCTTTGCCCGCAGGCTATGAGCTGGAGCGAAGGCTTGGGGTGGGCAGCTTCGGCAGCATAGTGGCCGTTGCACGCCAACCACCACATCATCACAAGGTGCGTCCTCCTCCACCCAGCCCATCATCTTTAGGCTCGGGCCAGGCTCTGCTCTAAGCGCCTAACCTCTATGTGCTGCGGCAGGTGGCGGTGAAGACCATCGACAAGCGCAGATGGAAGGCCGACGACGTGTGTGGCGGCCTGTATGCCATCAAGCAGGAGGCACAAGCCCTGAAGGAACTCACCGCGCATCCCAACATCATCGGCTTCATCGACGGTGCGTCCTCCTTCCTCCTCTTCTTTCAACCCTCTTCTTCTCCAAAATTCACTTCTCTCATGTTCATGTTGCTGCAGCCGTGGAAACGGACGACTACTACCATCTCATAACGCAGCACAACACTGGAGGTATTCATTCGCCACCATCAACCTCGTTGTAGCTATGTTGTATGTTTACATACATTGGCGTGCTCATTTACTATGTTCTCAACACGCTCTGAAGGTGATCTCTACGAGCACCTCTACGAGACGACCTACACGTTCACCGAAGAAGATCTCATGTCGGAGGACGAATGGGGCGACGACATGGACCAGAGCATCACGCCACGCGGCGGGCGTACGCTGTTCCTCAACGAGCGCGAGCCGCCCAGTGATGGGCTCGACAGCGCCAACAGCGACCACGACAAGCAGCGGGGCATCAACAACAACCACGGGCCGATGATGGACGCCGTGCGCAGAAGAGAGCGCCAGGGCATGCAACACCCGGGCGCAGTGCTGACCGAGAGTCCACGGGGACAGCAGCAGCAGCAGCAGCAGCACATCGGCCAACGCTCGCCTCGGCGAGTGCTCGAAATGAAGGAGTACGGCGGACGACTGAGCGACCAGGAGGCGCAGCCCCTGTTCCGGCAGCTCGTGCGCGCCCTCCAGTACTGTCACTCGCACGGCATCGCACACCGCGATCTCAAGCCCGAGGTACCACCGTCTTCTTCTTCTTTTTCTTGGCCCCACACGCGCCTTACATTTTGATCGTGCTTGGTGCTAGAATGTGTTCCTGGACGACAACCAGAGAGTGCTGCTGGCCGACTTTGGGCTTTGCATGCACTTCACTCCCGAACAGCGAACGTACGCACGGCCCAGGGAGAAGAAGGGCCTTCCTTCTTCTTCTTCTTCTTCTTCATTTTCTCATCGAGATCCCTCCTTTGATGAATTTGGACAGTTTCGTTCCGTGCTGCGGCTCGATGTTGTATACCGCGCCCGAGGTCATCAAGGAACAGCCCTACGTCGGACCGGAGATCGATATTTGGGGGCTCGGCATTCTGCGTACGTACCGCTCTATCTGCTACGCTGAACACACACACACCTGGGCCGCTCACCTCTTTCCTTTTACACAGTGTACGAAATGCTGTGCGGCTGCACGCCGTTCCAGGCCGATACGGACGAGGCGACGAGGCAGCGCATTTTGAGCGGGGCGGTCACCTTCCCCGACCACCTCTCCTCACAAGCTCGCGCGCTCATCAGCGGCATGCTCCAGGTGCTCTTCTCTGCTTCTATTCGGGAAAAAAACCTCGCTGACTTGTTCTTTTTGGTTCGGGACAATGTAGGTCGACCCGGCTCTGCGGCTCGATCTAAACGCGATCAAGAAGCATCCGTGGAACCTCTCCGCCCCGCAGCTCGCCGCCACATCCTACCTCTCCCCTCGAGGTACTCATCATCTCTAAGCCGCGCTTGACATTTTCACACACACACGCACACGCACACGCCACTTACGCTTGTACTTGTCGATGTCCGGCAGGCCTCATATCGCCGCGCATGCTGATGCATCGTAATCGAGACTCGGCAGCGTCGGCATCATCGCCCAAGCCATTTTCGCTGAACCTGATGCCGGCGGCGCTGGCGCCCTCGCGCACCATTCCGTCGCCGCGCTACGACACCACCTCGCCGCGCCGCATGGCCGTGCCGCGCCCGCTCATCAACCCCGACAACGCCGACTGCCTCATCGCCATCCCCGGCGGAGCCGACTGCGAGATGCCCACCACCGCCGCCACGAGGCCTCGCCCTCCGTCGGCCTCACCATCGTCGTCGCCGAGGGGACCCACGCCCGCGCAGCTGCGCGTTCGGCCCGCGCTTTGGCATTCGCCGCAGCTCTGCTCGCCTGACCCCTCCCCCCGCGGCCCGGCGGGCCTGGGCCTGGGCCTGGGCCTGGTCTCGCCGCGCTCGTTCCTGTCGCCGTCGGCCTCGGCCTCGCTGCTGTCGCCGCGCTCGCGGCTATCACCCGGATCGCCGCGCGAGTCGTCGGCCGCGGCCAGCAAGATCTACTACTCGCTCATGACCATGGAAGAGGAGCGCAGGTTGCCCCGGGGGCGAACGACGAGGGCGCCGCTGACCAGCGGTGCGGCGAACGGTGATGGTGCAGCAGAAGGCGAGGAGAGCGACACCGATGAAGACGAAGACGACAGCGACTACAGCGAAAGCGAAAGCGAAAACGAAAGCGATGACGACAACTCCGACAACAAGAAGAACTCCGACACGAGCGACGAGAACGAAACGCGAAGCAGCAACCTCCGAGAAAGGCTCAAGATCGGGCGGATCGACTTGAGCGTGGTCCAGGCCTCTAAACCGATTCCTTCGGTTGTGGTGGTGGCCGAGGAGGAGGGGACGGCTGACGTTCACAAGGCCGAGAAGAAGACGAAGCACCCGCAGGAGAACACCGACGGCAAGCCGGCCAAGAAGGAGCACAAGGAAGCAAGCGCGCCTCGCGACCAGACGAAGAAGAAGAAAAAGAAGAAGCCAACCAACAGCCGAGAGAGTTTCAAGGACCCCCGCGCGCCCATCTACAGCGCACAGAGGTGCGTTGGACCTTGCGCGCTGTGTGCATAATTTGATGTGCCGCTGCTAACCACACACCACACACAGCCCACTCGAGAGTCCTCGCATTGTGGAAGGCCGATCGCGCAGCTCTTCGTTTGGAGCGTCCAGGTTTGTTTCTGCTGCTCTGGCCATGCAACGTACGTTGCCTGTCTGACCTTCCTTTTCCCCTAAAACAGGGACAAGGTGACTGTCGTGGACTTTGTGAGCACCATCCGTGCCAGCGGCAAGCAGCAGCCTTCAGCAGGGAAGCACCACTGATGCGATGCGCTGGGGCTGTTTAGGTGCCATCATTGATTTTAGGGTGTTGTGGTGAAGTGAACAACGAAAATATACGGCAGACCATGTTATGTTGGTTAGGCGGAGAAGTAGAGGAAGGAGGAGGCGGAGCTGAGATGGAGGCCGAGCAGGGCGTCGATGATGTGCCGCACCACCTCCTCGGGCATCTCGGCCATCGGGCTGCTGCCTGATCCATCGACCGGCATGTCGGCCTGAGCGCGCTGCCGCACGAGCAGCAGCGTGCGCACTTCGGCCCGGAAGGCGAGCGGGCATGCCGCGTGTAGCTCGGGCCGCCACCGCACGACACCGCCGTCCTCGGCCAGGCGACTCGCCCTCCTGGCCATCTTCTCGCCCCCGTCCGGCGAGGCCCAACGCTTCATCTCGGTCGTGGCATCGTCGGGCGACTTCTCGACAAAGCGCGACGCGCAGCCGACCGGGTCGAGGAGCGACTCGTCGCGGAACCAGGCCAGCACCTCGGCGAAGCCCTCGGCATTTGTGGACCAAGGGGTGAGCGTCGCCTGCTCCTTGACACCAGAAGCAAACGCCATGCGGCCGCCTTCAAGCCAAGCCCGGCGCTTGTCGTCGTCGCGGCCGCCGTCAACGTTGTCGGGCCACAGGGGCGCAACGAACGGGTGGAGGATAGGCGTCAGCATGCGGTACCTCTCGCTGGCAAGCGGGTAGGTCGGCGGCAGTTGCACGTGAACCACGAATTCGATCGACGGCGCAAGGCCACCACCACTGCATCGGTTGTGGTAGATGGCGGCGTCGATGGGCGGGCGAAGGGCGACGAAAAAGTCGAGCGGAGCGTCGTCGACGTTGTCCGTGACGCGCGCCATCAGCTGTTCCACCATTTCTTTACGTCTTTCCCGTCTCCCCGGTCGTATTGGTGGCTGATCAAGCGCATCCCATCATGCTCCACAATCTATGTTCCACAAGACGGTCAGCATAATCGCACACGTGCCACCGCACACGCACCCGCGCCACCGCACACGCACCTTGATGAGGTTGCGGTGGATGAACTCAGAGCGGCCGGTGAGCTGGAGCGCGTCGTGATTGGCGACCACGTCGCGCAGGCCATCGTCCCACCCACCTGGCAGCGCCCAACTTCCTCGCCCACCGACGGTGTGCTGACGTGGCAGAGCGCGCCACGCAGTCCGTCGCGGGCCTGGCACCATCATGTTCACCGTCGAGTCCTTCTGGAGGGCGCTGTTGTGGGCAATCTGCCGGGTGAAGGGCATCCAGTTCCCTACGACCCAGATCACCTGTGTCGGGTGGTGCCGACCGCGGGTCTGCGGTTCAGCATCTTCCTCATCATCATCACCAGCGTCATGGCGATGGCCATCGTCATCACTCACGGGCACACCGTCGACGAACTGCGGCCGCTGGTGGCGAGCAGGCAGCAGGTGCCTCTGGTCCGGACGCCCGTCGTGGTCGAGTTCGGCGTCGTCGTGGTGCAGGAGGAGCAGCACCCGGTACACGTCGCCGAAGCACAGGGCCACGTCGGCCTCCAGTCTGACCAAAACGTTGTTCGCAAGGCGCCAGAAGAGGGGCCGCATGCTGCAGTACTGGTTGCCCCTCGGCATCGGCTTGCCCGGCGGCCCTATTCGAAAGCGGGGCGGCTGTGTTTTGGCAAAGATGGGGGGGGGAGAGAACGTTACAAAGCTGTGCTGCAGCTGGTCGTGTGTGGCGCACAGGCTGGCTATGCGCTCAACGTTACAATGCACAACATACAATATTTATGTACCTCGATGCGGTGTGGCGGGATGCTTTGGTTGATACCCATGTGGGTTGGTAGGCCGGTGCAGTGTTGTCTATTGTTTCTTTTGAAGCGGCTATAAAATATAAATATGTTGCAAAATGATAGCTCTTCGATGTCCGCTGAAAAGGCAAAGTTCAGTTCATTGGGTCGGTATGTACAGAACGCAGCTGGCCAGCTGCGGCCTCAGCGGCGGCGTGAGGCAAGCATGCGGAGGCCGCCCTTGATGGGCAGTGTGAGTGACGGGCGGTAGGTCACCTTCTGATTCTCCGGGTCGTGCAGCTCCAGCCTGCGATTGGGCCATCATCCACCAAATCACACACAAAAACCAAACGAAGTAAGACACCACCGCTAGTGGTAGTACTGGAATACCACAAAGATGTTTGTTTGGTTACCTGTAGGACTTGAGGATCATGAAGGTCATCACCTTGGCTTCGAGATAGGCCATGTTCTGCCCCAAGCAAGTGCGTGGCCCAGCTGAAACACAGATGGTCACAACACAAAACGCGAATGAGCTGAAGATGCGAAAACTCCCTACCGGGCCGCACCACCGTGAGCGTACCTTGGAAAGGAATGAAGAGGAAGGGGTGCCTCTCCTTGTTCTTCTCGGGGTCGAGCCACCTCTCGGGAAGAAACTCGAGCGGCCTGTCCCAGTACTTCTCCATCCGGCCCATGCAGTACATCGACCAGGCAACATTCACCTGTTCAAGCCCAGCATCAGAAGCCGTACAAAGCCCAACACCCCAGAGGCACGCACCCCAGCGGGCACTTTGTAGCCGTTGGGCAACACGTCGTCCTTGACCACGTATTTGGGGTCAACAGGCACCGGCGGGCACAGCCTGAGAAGGAACCACACGTCAGCCAGAGGTGTGACGATGGTGCGAATTGAGTGGTGATGGTGGACCTGAGCGTTTCGTTGATAGCGCCCATGATGTACTTCATGTGCCTCAGCTCATCGTAGTCAGGCAGACCGTCGTCGAAGCTGTCGATCTCCTTGAGCAGCTCGGCTTCCTTATCTGGGTTGCGAGACAGATTGTAGAACAGCCACGACAGAGTCTGCGCATGCGCGCATGGGTTGTGAGTGAGAGGTGCGCACAGCGACATGTCGAGAACAACATATGCTTTTACCTGAGCAGTTGTGTCTCTGCCAGCGATCATGAAGTTCATGACGATGTCGCGCAAGTGGGCGTCACTGTGGTCCACTGCGCGATTACAAAAGCTCGTCCCGTTAGAACACGCAAAGGCGAGGACGGCCTTGCCAGTCAGAGAATAACGCACCACCGTCCATGCACATGTAGCGCGACAGGAGGTCGTTTCTGTCGCGAACATCTGGGTCTTGCCTTCTCTCCTTGATGAGCTGTATGTGCATCACATGGTGTTAGCTTGGGCACCAGTTGCTGGACGATTAGGGCAGTGGTACGTTTGCGGCAAAGTCGTTCAGGATCTTCACGTAGCTGCCCATCGGCGAAGGAGTGAACTGCAGATCAAAGAAGAGCGATTGTGAACCATTCACTCGTGCGTTGTGCCGGTCTTCTTGGTCTGATGGTACCTTCCAGAACGGCCAGAGGAACCGATCGACGGCGCACTCCTGCGCGGCGTCGAAGGCTTGTGAGAAGGAGCAGTCCTTGTGCATGGAGTCGACGTTGAAGCCAAAAGCGATCTCTCCGATCGAGTCCAGGGTGTACCTGCGGCAGACCATCATTAGTCTGCTCTCTCGGCCCCGACATTCATTGCTCCTGAAATTTCGATACGCACTCACCTGAAGAAGAGATCGGCCACATCGATGGGCACGCCGGTGTCGGCCGCCTTGTCGAGGATTTGCAGCAGCTCGCGGCCGTGGCGCTCGAAGATGTCGCGCATGTGCTTCAGCTCCTTCACCTTGAACATGTGACTTGCAATTTGCCTGTATTGTCGTGTACGTGAGCGAGGTCGTGGACCTTGCGATGATACCATAAGGTTGCTGCACCTCTGTTCCTTCCATGGCTGACCGTCGGTGTTGAAGATGCCATCTCCCAGCAGAGTTTGAAGCTTGTCCTTGAAGTGGGGACCCTTGGTGAAGTTCTACACACATATATGGAGGAGGAAGGTGAGCTCGTTGAACAAGAGGCAACAAGGGTTGAAGAAAGGTTGCGCACTTCGAAGTTGGTCTTGAGGATGTATTCGACCGAGGGCGGGTCTGTGACCATCACGTCCGTATCGCCCCCGAAAGGCAACACGAAGTGGAAGGTGCCCTTGGGCGACTGCACAGAGGTCAGCTTGGTGAAGCCCTGTGCAGCGCAACAAAAGTTGTACCTTGCTGGCCTGTTCGAGCATGTAGTCTTGGAGGCGGTGCTTGTGGCGGAAAGTGTCGATGAGGTTGCACAAGATGGGCAGCTGGTAAGGACCAGGTATGTCCAGCTTCCTCTACACGCCCAACACCGTCAGTCACTCAAGCAGATAAAGTAGGGCGCCCAGCGAGGCGGGTCGAACCTTGCGGTGGTGCAGA